GGGAAGAAAGACATGTTGGGTTAGATTGCCAGACTAAGGCATTTGACTTTATTTTGTATGCAGTTAGGAAGTACTGAAGGATCTAGAGAAAAAGATGATGAAAGAGATGTTGCACCCAAATTTATAGCACAGTTTACGTAGAATGGATTAGAACCTGTTAAATGAAGCAACCTGTTAAAAAGAGCCTGGGCATGAAGTGATGAGGGCCTGAATTAGGGTGTTACAGATAGGAATGCATAGAGGTGGGAATTTGCAACATATATTACAATGAACAAAAATACTGGGGACTGAAAATAAAGGGAGAAGATGAGGGAAAATCAAAATTATCCTCATGTTTATAGTGTTGATAGCCAAAAGCATACCAATATTGCTGAGAAAACAAGAGAAGGGAGGACTGGAGAGTGGGATTTGGGGTGGTACATTTTGAATTTGAGATGCCAGTAAAATATATCCAAATATGAATATTAATTTCTTATTCATTCCATTAATATGAGATGCTTCACACAGTGATATACTCATTGAATTCAATAATGCCTTGGTAGTTTAAAAACATTGTGTGGCAATGATATGATACACCTTAGAAAGGGAAATCTTTATTTATTTTGATTTACTCTAAAGATTTAGTAAGGTACATTGATTCTACTGATGTTAATAGGAATTACACAAGCAGAACGAAAAAAAGAGGCTTCTAAGAATTCAAGTCATACACCCCATTTGTTATACAATCTTTGTTAGTTATACTAAGAGCTTTGTTAGAATTCAGTCAATTTATGACAAAAAGTAAACTTGTTTAAAGGTGCTAATACCAGGCCTACAGCACATTCAATTTAAACAGGGATCAGAGTCAGGTAAATGAAGTATAAAATAGCTTCATAGTTACACTTTCTATCAAGTGAATAGTTAACCCTTAAATTGTCTATTATATCAGTTTTCTTTTTTTATTGAAGGAAAAACAGAAATTCAGTGTTAGCAAGGGAATTAAACATCACAATTGAAAATACTAGCTATAAATTATTCAACTTATTACAAGTATAATATTAATGCATAAACTTGGATTGGTCTACCTGATCCTTGATATTGTAATCCATGACCCATTAACAAGTGGAGGCTCATCCTTCATCCCCTGAACATCCTTATGTTAAAGATAATTTCCTTCTCTAACTCTAGTGGAATGCTGGTGTTAATGCTTTTAATATATCCAAATTTAAGGTTTGGTTATGCCTATAAGAACTGAAAAAGGGAATAAATGGTAATGCAACATAAATGATCTTGCGTCTGGTGTGTTTCTTATTCCTTTTATTGATAGCTCCTAGAGACATCTTGAGCCACAATTTAAGTTCCCATGAACCAGGGGCTTATTGATGCCCAGTTTAACATAAGCACCATTTTATGAGAGTTACCATAGTGACCAGGTTCCAGTTATCAGCTTGAACAATTTCACATATGATTAATGTTAATTGCCCATTTTGCATGGATGACTTTTTCCTGGTTGCTGAATTGGTTGCTGCTCCCTTTGATCTGGTTGGGAATACAATCCAGTGCAAAAGTTAGACAAGTGATCAGTTTGCCAACACAGAGAGAAGATGGATTCAGGTTGATGTGAGGTCAGAGTTTGTTTCTCTTCATAAACACTGAAAGGTCAGGTAGAGTTTAACTACCATTGGCATTTCTGAAATGTTGTAATAAATGTCAGAGCTAAGAGATTATTATTAATCCACCATGCAATTAAGGGTCTTATTGTTCTGGCAAAAGAAGATTCTTATTTAATTTAGCAAGCACATTGAAAGTCATAGTGGCACTCTTCCAGTCAGGTAAACAACACCTTCAGAGTTAATGACATTATTGGCTTCTAATGTAAGCGAGAAAGAGACACAGTCAGGGATTAGCCCAGGAGATTTCAGCCATCAGTGATAGCTCTGAAAAGTGAATCCCAGGGCAGTACTAACAGCTCCCACTTCAGGAATCCAAGTGCAACTTACAAGTGGCTGCTAATACCACCCTGAACTGCCACTTTATCATTAGCAATTTGCTCAGTTTGTCCCAGAATGTTCCAAGTGATTCTTTAAAATGTAGTAAGCCAAGTTTTCATTGAAGAGGATAACATGACTAGTGATTCCTTACCAAATTGTGTGCTGACCATATGATTCATATTAAATATCTCAAAAGCTCATGACATCTCCACTTTATTAACGAGACTTTTTTCTTTGAAACAACAAAATCATTCAACTTTCTCAGTTGCTTACTCCTTGGTTTATATACAAATGGGCAATGACACGAAATAAAAATAATTCCAACAGTGAAATTGAAATTTTTTAATCTTAATGAGAAAAGTATCATTTACTTCATCTATTACAACTGGGAATAGATATGTCACAGAATGTGTTGTATTTTATTGACACCTGAAGACCTACTGAATCTCCCTCTTAGGGAACTGCCAACTCTACAGAGTTCATAAACTGCAAGGTAATACTGAATATAATACCACTTCAACTGCAGAAATATGAAATACTGTTGACATATATTTCAAATACGCTTATTCTTTAATCTCAAGAAGCTGAATTACTATTTGACTTCTAAAGTTTACAGAGCAGAGGGAAAAATACATATCAAGATAAATTATGTAAAAGGTGACTTGTACCCAGAGAAAATCAGGATTCTTTGGTATTATTTCCCTCCAAACCACCTATAATACGTTACACCTATTGTTGATTCTATAAAGCTGAAGCTCTCAAAGGTTTACTTTAGCTATTTAATAAAAGTTTTGCTGTTTTACAGGGTTGTTTGCTTTGTACCTTAACACTTTTGTTTGTGGTGTTCATTTGTGGTGCATCTACTGGACCACTTAGGTTGGAAATGAAAAAAAAGCCTGTTTTATTTTACTGAGTACAAATAATCTTGCAAATAAACAGAAAACAAATAATTGCCAACAAGCATTTATCATTCAATTAAACAGTAATTACATGGTTATTTGTGCCCTGTAAAATAAAGCGTTACTGAAATCAGTAATGCAATCAATGTTTTAGGAGAAACAGAATGCTGCAACGATGGACCTTTCAACCTATGCTGATTAAATTGTCATCCAAATAATAGTTTCCTAGTTAAATCACCACATGTTTCTTTGTCTTGATTAATATGTAAATATCTGCCTGATGCTAATAAAGCTCTTAAAGATAAGAAGCATGGCAAGATCATCTATCAAGAATGATCTTCCCCAACTTTCTAGAGTCCTCCATAGTCTTTCATCATGTTGTCAGGCTGTGTTCTTTGAAAGGAAATGGAGGAACTTTAGTGTTACTAAATGTCTTACTACAGAGGATCATTAGGTCTAAAAGTAAGAATAAAGCTAGCTTACATTTCTATATGGAACTCAATCACTTATAAAGCACTTTCACAAACTTGATTATAATTAATTTACTCTAGGGGCCCAAGTACTCTTTCTAAAAGTAAAAACAAAGTCATCTGAATGTGACTTTTGCTAACTGGTAAATTTAAACAGGTTTGAAAGTAGATATACACAATAATACTCACTGAAGAGTTAATCACAAATTTCAAGTAACAGGTCAAACCTACAACTCTATCACTAGACAATAAGGCCTCAAAGGAAGAAACTCTTCTAAGTTCTGACAATATGTCAATGAACAAATGGACCCAAACCCTCACCCTTGTCAAACTTACATTTTAACCCTGATACCTAGTACCATGCCAGACACACACTGAATGGGCACCTACTACAGCTATGTTTACTGGGTGATGGAGTAAGTAATATTGCCACTGCACAGGTAGAATTCAAAGGGACCTTTACTCACCGAGTGCATCTGGAAGCTTATGGGGTCTCTCAGAGATAAGACTGTGTGTGGCATCTGCCCTTCTCTAAACTTGTACACAGTCAGATTTGAATGGATCATATTTTGAAGCTCCTATGATTGTTGTGGAGTCAAAGAATAGAGCAATCTAAGGGATACTTGGAAACTTCAGCAACAGTGAAATATTTCCTATTATTATTAATTAACTGAATTAATTACCATTTACTGGACCCTACTGCATACTAGATACCATGAGAATTGTTCAGGATACAGTGACAAAACCAGAGATACATGCTGCCTTCATGGAACATACATTCTAGTCCAGGAAGACTAGCACTGATTCATACAAACACCGTAAAATTATAAACTGAAAAGGATGGAGAATGTGATCCCAGTTTATAGCATATGAAACACTACTACCAAGCCATTTGTGACATAATCCATGAATTCTCCAATATAGATCTGATGGTGGGAAATTTTAGCAATTTTTTCGAATCTTGGAATTCAAGGTAGAACCACCAGACGAAGAGGCCTCTAAAGCCTCCCAGGCCTAAAGTCAATTTATGGAAAACAGCTACTTCATGTCATGAAACTGACTAAGAAATTTACAACAGAGCTAGTTAAACCTTAGAGCTTTCAAAGTGTGTCAACAGAGGGCTTATCATATAGACGGGGAAGGAACATGAGGCTGCTTACCTCTGGAGGCAGCCTTTCTGAAAGTGATCATGAGCATGAAGACAGTGACACTGGAAAACTACATGGTAATCAGGTGGACTTGAATAAAGTTAGTAGGCTTGAGTTTTGACAAATAGAAAGATACAAAGAAGCCCTTAGAACGTACAGATTTGGTGAAGATTATTTAACAAAATTACAAGCTGCTGTGTAATGACTGGATATGTCCTGATGAACACTGTTCAGTAATCTTGGGATCCTTTAGGGCATTTGCAGTAAACAGCATATTTCTCTTACCACTATTCCTTTAAAAAGTTAGGACTCCATAAGACAGGTAAGGGCAAACAAGAAAACAACTCTGAATTAAATAAAATAAATTATGGCCAAGAATTGTGTAGAAAGATGGAGAGGAGAGAGTTTATAAAATTGAAACATTAAATGAGAAAAACAGAATCTTTCATGCTAGCTTGATATGCAATATTGATAAACAATGAAAGCAAATAACACCAGCACAGTGTATGAAAAATGAGGTAGGTAATGGTACCTCTGTGTAAAGTTGCTAGAAGTTCTCTTCATTTAAAACCAGAGTTTGCCTTACACTGATGGAACACTTTGCTACTGCAAATTTGATGGAGTGAAGTTTAACTTAAATTTTTTTGTGAACTAAGAGTCATTTTTGGAAATGTTCTATATCTGAACCTCATGTATGTTTGCAGTGTGGGTTATTTAACATAGTATTTTGCAGTCTTTTGTCAAAAGCCCTTTTATTCAGCTTTGTAAACTGCATTTCTACTACAAAGCAATGGCAATGTCTTAGGCAACATTAGAAAGTAATATTTGAGACATATTGGGTGACTTGAGTACAACTTGATCCTAATGTTCGTTGACTTACAAGTCTCTTCATTGTGGGGACAGCTTCCAATGATGTTTTCAGTACACTGACTGTTAGGGTCCAAGATGGAGGTGTATACTGACTTTTTATTTCATGATTTTATGGATTAACATTTGCAACCACAATTTCTGAACTACTTACACTAAGCTGAAGAGTGTGCACATAGACTAGGTTAGGTTAATGTTACAAGTTTGTCCTCAACTCCTCAGTTAAAAACACCAATCAATCTGTGAGAAAAACGATCCTAGACTGGAAAAGTGGTGGGTTTTGTTACTGCAGCCACCCAAAGAGTGCGTCCTGCTGTTACATGGCCTGGGTGAAAAAGTAGGTGGGGTAAGCCTACTGAGGGTGGGGCTGGGGGGGCCTTTGTTCTTCATTGGCTACAGGCAGTTGTAGAAATGCTACTAAACAATAAAAATTAGGTCTTATTCTACATTTTTCAGCTTGTTACTTCTCACCTTTTACATGCTGGTCAGAGACTGAACTGCTTTATATTCTATACAATCTTAACTCTCTGAGTCATTATCTCAGTCTATCTCAGTAGCATGTATTAATACTAAGGATCAAGTGTAGTTTTAAGAACAGGGGGTAACTTTGTGGGTTTGCCATACTAACAGGTAAGCTGTATTGCTAAGTGCTGGCTTGTAAATGGGATCGAAACTAGAAATTGATCTTTTATGGTGGCAACGCTTTCCATAACTATGTTGAGAAATTTAGTTGTATTAGTCTTTTAGTATAAATCAATGAAAATAGTCTTTAATATAAAACTCTATCACTTGGCAATTAAACAAGACTTAGAAGGTGAATGTAGCAAGTGATGGTATTTCCAAAAAGAGTGCATTTTTAACCTTATTTTTCTTTGTTTTTCAACAGTTCAAGGCCCGGCAGGCCTCCTAAGCGTTCTTTGGGAGTGTTGCAGGATAATGCTCGCCTTCTGTCCCATTCAGTCCCAGGCCTTTTATCACCAGGATTTATCAGTCCGACAGGTAATAAATTCCATCCGATGATCAGCCTTGTCTCTTCATCCTGCCCAGCATTTGAAATAAACTAATATTGATCTAACTGCCTTGTCCTTCAGAGCTTTTTAAGCTCTACTAGAGGTTACGTTATTGAAATTTTTGAGTATTCATGAAAACAGTTTTGTTACTCCAGTGACTCAAATCAAATGGGCATGACTTTAAAAAAAATTTATTGTCATTTCCTTCCAGGAAATCCCTTTCAAGGCCTTATTGTGTGTGTGTATGTATGTTTTTAGTTGTTGAAGGCAGGGTTGGTGGGGGGGTCACTGGCCAAACTAGCATTTTCTAGAAGCCTTTTATACAGGACACCTCTTACTTATATGTCTCAGTGATATTCTTTTTATTTCCAAGGGTTCTGAGCATCTCTGTATCTTCTCTAAGTTATTAACCTTAGTTAAAAAGTAGAAAGAACTATATGACAAGTGGTCATTGTCTTAAATAATGATTCGGTGCTCTTCATTGAACACTTTGATAAGCAGCACTCCCCTAAGAATACCAGTCTCATAAACTGGCATTGAACCTTTTTGATTCTCTAACAAAGAACCGAAAAGTACATAAAATGAAAAGAAGCTTGATATTTCTCTAATTGTAACTTTCAAATCATTGAAGTTTTCGGGGTAGACAATGAATTTAATGACAGTGGGCTCTTTGTGCCTTCAATGATATGGTCATTTACAAAACACTACTGTGTTTTGGGTATTAGATCCTAGGCAGTGCAGAATTATGTGAGTAGCAGTCCTTGTCAGCAGTAGAATTAGGGACTGAAGTGTGATGGAGATTATAATGCAAGCACATACAAGGTGGTATAAGATCACACAGATGGGAGCAACTATAAATCAGTTTGGAAAGTTGAGTAATGCTCAGAGAGATGGAAACTTCGGAGCGAAACTAACTAAGTCTTATAAGTTGAGTTTTGGACATATGTAAAATCAGTGAAAAACATTCCAGGCAGAGAGTAGAAAATAGACAGATACATATACACTGATGAGAATAAGCCTAATGTGCTAGGGGGAAGAGTGATTAAGTTGAAGAGACTGGAGCAGATATTTGAGGTGGAAGACACATAGGCAATATGGCTAGAATAGAAAGGGTGGGAAAAGCCAGCGTTTTATTTATTATATTTAGCTGTTTAGGATTTCCCCTATAGACCCATGTTTTTTTTTCCAAAATGCCATTCAAGGACCTTCCTTACTGGCTGACATGCAATTGGGAAAGTTCTTGCAGGTTCCCCACTTCTGCCTCAGTTAAAGTGTTATGTGTTCTAGTTCACAGAGGATTTTGTTTAAATAAAAAAAGCTGCTGTAGGTAAAAGGAACTACAGCTAAGTAACAGTAAATGTTACAAAAATGATTGCTACGGAGAGTAAATAGCAATGAAGTCAGGGAAAAGCAGAAGGACAGTAAGTTGCTACAGTTCCAGGGAGAAGTACTGAGGACCTGAACTAAAGAAAGTTCAGTAAAATGGAAAAGAGGTTCAGAGTTGTTTAGCAATTTGAATTAATCACAATTATTAATTGATCAAAATAGAGGTGAGAGGATAAAGATTAGGATGCTTCATGTCTAGCCTGGATGACAAGCTGGATGATAGTACATTAACTAAGATAGAGAATTTAGGAAGACACTCAGGCTTTGGGGAATGAAATTTTAGAATTTAAGTATTTATAAACAAATTCTGATACAAGAATAAAGTAGCCTTATACATGCAAATGAATATAGAGGGAATAACAGTGCTTGAAGTATACCTTCTTGCTCAATAAAAGATAATCTATTTCATGACTTCTAAAATACTTTGACAGATTCTAGAGATAGTACCATGTAAATAATCAGATCTGTATCCTGATTTTGAGGGAATGGGTAGATGTAAAAAAAGCATTTTAAAATTGCCTGAAGCGAATGTACTTGAGTAAACTTTAGTACCTTATCTGTTGAGGAAAACCCATAATATATATTAAGTTCCTACTATGTTCCAGGCATAGGTGCTAAGTGTTTTATATACATGTCATTTACTCTTCATAACAGCCTTATAAACATTGTCTTCATTTTTCACGTAAACTATCTTTGGCTCAGTGAGTTTAATTGCTTAAGGTCACAAAGCAATTGAGTGATAGAATTGGGTTTCAAACTCAGGTGTTTTAAACTCTACAGCCCCATACTCTTTCCTTTCCCTCATGATGTCTTATAGTACATGTGAGAAACCAGTTTGGGATTCATCTTCACCTAGTTTACTTGACCATATTTGCTTCACTTTCTACAAGGTATTGGAGCGTTCTTCCTTGGAGTAGAGCCTTGGACTTCCCTCTTCCAACTTGGACTTACCACCATGAAAGCCATTGAAATGAAGCTCCACAGTTCTTAACGTTTGCTTGCACCTAGAATGAGATAGAGATACGTAAGGGATTGAGTGGGGAAAGTCATGAGCCCAATCTGTCTAAAGGCAGACAGTAGAAAAAACAAATGGAAAGAAGGAGGAATCTGCACTGCATAGCTCTACAGTAATTCTTCTGCTTAGTTTACATGAAATTATTTTACATGCCCAAGAACATCTTACTCACCTATAGTCAAATATAAGAAGAAAAATGGTCTGTAAAGCCAAGGAGAAGTAATTCTGCAATTATATACTATTTTGGATTAGACACACCACTTTACTCCTCCATTAGCAAAAGTAATTGAGATAGAATCAATTCTCAATTTAGTTATCAGTAAGTTTCATATTTCTCATTGTACTTATTATTTATCACAAACTCAACCTTCATTAATTTTATTTAAAAATGCTTTTGAAGAATTTTAATATGATTTATTATGGGTTAAGAATTGACAATTATCCTTTTTTTTCCCCAAATGATTATTGAAATGTTTTACAATACTTTTTGGTTTGAGGTCCTTGTGTCTCAAAATATTTTTTTTTGTAGAGAAGGAGGTAATGTTATACAGCTGTGTATAATGTTGCATACAACTGACAAATTAATCATTGAAGAGTCTGCTGCTACCTTCTGTTTCAATGGTACATGTGTGGAGAAACTCCTTTGAACCCTGCTAAGTTTGCCTAAGTAATGTAATTTATTCTGCATTTATTATATTTCTTTCCACTTTTAACTTGAAAATGGGGTCTAAAGGTAACAAAATAGAATGATCATGGTATCCCTTTTCAGATATTGTGATGGTTTTTTAATGTTATTTTCGCCTTTAAATTGTTTTTCATCCAGCAGTTGTAAGCAAAAAATACAAATGAAAAAGGTTAGAAATGGTTAAGGCATCATCATTAGATTTATTTAAGAAGAGTTCCCCATTCATGTGTCTTGACAAGTAAATCTTTAAAAATGCAGAATAATATCAGGGATGACATACTGTTTTATCTGCTTAGCATAAAGGTAATTTCTATTTTTACATGACTTCCTTTTTTATTTGTATTTTTTTCATTTTAAAGATGTTTATTTTCCTCTTGGTCATATTTCCCCTACATAATGGACCCTGATTCATTCAAAGTCCACTAATTAAAAATTTGAGATGATTCAGAAAGTGGCTATGCTAAAGTCTCTAGTATTAATAAAAATATCTTATTTAGCAAATTAAATTATAAAGAAGAAATTTTATGTGTGTGTGTGTCTGTGTGAATATGTGAATGGGTGTAAGGTCATTAAAATACTTGGGAGGTTTAAATGTACTTAGGTTCCTAAAAATTACTTTAGCAAGATCTGTTTCTTTGCAAATAATCACTATACTAATTGTATATTAACAATGATATGTAAAAGATGATAGGTCTTTATTCACTAAGAACCCAGAAGATCTATTCTTGACAATATTGTCTGATATTTATTTAGATATCATGTCTATGTAACTACAGTCAGAGAGAGATATGGTATCTATATATTTATCTATGTCTGTCTGCTTATCTATCTATCTATATAAGTATCTATATATCCATCCATATCTCTATATCTATATCTAATAGATTTCTATAGTTAAAGATCTATATGCATTAATTATTTTCATTTAACATATATTTGTTGCACATCTATTCTGTATCAAACTATATGAGGAAACTTTACAACACCTTACAATAAAATTCATTTTGAGAGTTAGTTTTCCCAAATTTCATCCAGCCTTTACCCTAGCTATTAAAAAATGATGAAGTTTGACTGTGTTTTGCCTTTGTATATTGAAATGCTGATATTTCTATCTCATGTTTCTGTTTCTGTTCCTGCTGTACAATCCATACCTTACTTCACTGATAGCACGTTAATATATAATGATCTTATCTTCTAGTTTTTTCTTTAAAATATTTTGGTCTATGGGGTAAAAAGAAGAGGGAACACAATCACCATCTTTCTCTGCAGCTCTGCAGAAGTGCTAATATCCCTGGATCACACTGAAGGGCTGGATTAGTTGTGCGTGCTTTTGAATTTCCCAAATGATGACTGCTCCCTTTTCCTCAGCTTATGAAGCATTTCAAATAAACAGATGTGGAATTTGGCCTGAGAGAGATTTAAACTGACAGCTTACAAGGAAGTAATAAAGTGCCTCAGATGAAATTCTTGTAGTGTTCATTACTTAAAAGGCAGCAGATTCTTACACTGTTTTTTTCTTTGGCTCTGCTATGGAAAAATATTTTTAGGAATTTCAGCTGTCATCGAAGTCCTTGGGTAACTAACTGAGTCTGTGGAGATCTACTCTAGTAGCAGTAGCTACAACATGCAACTCAAAATTGTCAGAGTCATAAGTAGAATTGTGCCAAGTCTTGGCAGTGTGATGTCAAATTCATGATATGATAATAATGCCAATTAGCCTGATCACATCTTTGGAGTAAGTGACCCTCCCTTTACATGACACATTTCATATTCTTTCTCAGTTTGTTGGGTGCTAAGAAGTGACCATAAGGAGGACAGAGAGGAAGGACCAAGCCATTCTTTTTCTTATTTATTATTTTATTTATTTTTTATTTTGGTATAATTTATCTACAGTTACATGAGG